GGGACTCTGTCTCCATCTCTCTCCCTCTCTTGAGCCCAAGATTAGTCCTGGTTTATTTATTTTAATCTGAACTACAGCCAAACAGGCATTTTTTTTCTATCCTATGCACATGCATATTTCTGAAAGTTTCGTTTTCAGCTGCTGCCCGCTGTCAACCTATGGGTCTGCATGCGGCGTGAAGAGAAAAAAGTGAGAAAGACGAGGTGAAAGAAAGAAAAAACACGTCTCCTGTCATTTGCTTCTAAGAGCCGTTTCGTTCGCGACTGATCTATCTCTACTGGCTAGTAAAGAATGTAAACCATCGCCATTAGCCTTTAGCCGTAAATGCGTGTGTGCCGCAGTAATTAATTATATGCGTAAATGTCATCATTCACACCTCTATTTACAGCTCATTTACATCCATGCAGATCCAGAAACATGTATATGTCCAATAGAGTCACTTTACAATAGGCCATTAGAAGAGAAAACAGCCTGTTTGTGTGGGAGCTACAGCAGCCAATCGCTAACCAATGAGAAATAACCAAAATTAGCTTCAAGATCGACATATTTCCTACACCCACTGCTCACATCACAAGTCTGCACTAATAAATGTCCTTTTAATCCTGACTCAAACCGATTGTCCGTAAAAATATTATTTAAGTGTTGCGCACATGGATCTATGGCTGTGGGTGTAAACAAGTGCACGTGAGTGACGTGACTCTGGGGGTGTGTTCAGGGACAGTACGGCCACACACAAAGACAAATGACTCTGCAGATAAATACTGATGCAGAGCCACATATTAGGACATTTATTAGTCTGTAAATGTGATTAAATGAACATGACAGAGTCTAAGCTTTATAATGAGGTATAACATGCCCACATGAAATATCGGCCCATATTGGCAAGATTTTGGCCAATTGCTGATATATTTCCAGGTCCCCATATCAGCCGATACTGTTGTCAACCGATATCAGTCAGGCCTTAATTGTATTTTTAACTAATGTCATATATATGGGTAGCACAGTGGTTACAGTTCCTACCATAGCTCCCATTATTACACAAAAATGGTCAGTGGCTGTGAGGATATGTACCGTCATTGATCTCATCGGGCTTTCTCTTCTTCTCGTAGATGAAAATGATTGTGACCAGGATGATGACCTCAGCCACGATGCCAAGGAAGGGCCAGAGTGCGGCCAGACGGCTGCGCACACGCAGGTGGATGCGGTCCTGACTGTCGCCCAAGTCATTGGAGCCAGAGCAGATGTAGTCGCCCACATCTGTCTCCATGTTCAGGTTGTTGATGGTCAGCAGGGTCTTCTCAGGACTGCTTTTGATCTCATATTTGTCAGAGGTGCCATTAACAATAGGCTGGAGATACACACAGAACATTCAGAACACCACCTCTATTAGGATTTGGACAAGTGGGGAAAAGAATATTCTAGGCAATGGGTATAATTTAAACATTTACAAATTAACAAAACTCTATCTTAGGTGCATTTCTATTTTATAAGAAAAATGACTGAGTCAACATTAGTGAAGCTGTAACTAGGACAAACCGGCATCACTAAAAGAAGGGCCCTCTCAATAATAAAAAAGTATACCTCTTGGGCTTCGTCCTGCTCTTTGAACCAAGTCCAGGTGGTGGGCAGAGGGTAGCTGTGGCTCACACAGGTCAGCACAGCTTTGTCGTTCTCATTACCGTGCTCTGAGTGCTTATACGCAGAGACGTGTGGCTCAGCTAAAATGTACAATAGATGTGTTATGATTCATGTTTTACCATTACCACATACAGATGAAACAAGTCACTATTCAATGTGCATGCCTAATTGTGTTCACCATATCGCTACAAGGAATTGTATCCGGCAATAGTTACAGGAAAAGCAGCTCCAGAGTCATCTTTCACCTGCTATTGTGTTGGCAAACAATGACTTAGTTCTTACGACTGAACGATGGCAAAATAAACTTACTTTTGACTTCAATGGTCTTCTGAACAGGCTGTTCCATGTCAAAGACGCACTCATACTTCCCTCCTTTGTGGTGTGTGATCTTCTCCAAACTAAATAAAAGACAACTTAGTGGTTCAAATTTGGACAACAAATTTTCTAAAAAAAAAGTTAATAGCAAAGTTGCATATTATTCAGTATGTATCTGATCAAGTCTACAGGAGCAAGATAATCAATAATCACTTTTTTTTATCTGATGATAAAATGAATAAATGAAAGATCCAGTCCACAATAAACTGGAAATAAGCAGCCAATTCATGTTTTGGAGCTTCCCCACATAATCACAATCCTGTTTTTGTTTGGTGCATTGTACAGTGCAGCTCTAATGGGGAATTAAGGTCAGTCCATGTGAGCAGTGTGCCGGCGGCGCTTATCCCGCTGCCAGGACTACCAGCAAAGCTGCACGTCTACACGCTCCAGCTCCCGCTAATCAAGCTCACAGCTCCACAGCTAATGGAGCTATGCAGGGGGATAAAAGGGCGCTCGCCAACAGAAGATAACTCGAGACCAGAAGACAACGAGGGTGCAATACTGCCGTGACCAACAGGGACGGATACAATATAAGTTAGCATGAAAGAGGCTGAGCAAAGGCCTGCTTGGGATGCCATGATCTATAAATAGATATTTCCAGCTAGATTCTAACAAATGCATCTTGTCATAAAATTGCATAACTTGTGCTGTATTCTACCATCACAATAACAATATATAATAATATATAATAATACATTATTATTATACTGTACACTATTAGCAAATAACAACTCAATTCCTCCAAAAAATTATTAAAATTAATTGAAGCAGAAATGATATAGGTGTGAATGTGCTACTTACTGGAGACTTGTATATGGGCTGCTGCTGTCGGATTTGGAGTCTTCAATAACTTTCCCATCCAGAGTCCAGTAGGAGCCTTTGATGGGCTTGGCTGCACCGGTCAGGTTACAGGTCAGCACAGCGGAGGTCTTGTTCACCACCTCAATGGGGCTGGCTATGATGTTTGGCCCTTTGAGGGGAAAAAAAAAACAAACACAAAAAACAGCAAGTTATCGCACAGAACAGCAGGCATTAACAGGGTGTTCTTCTGGGAGATCTGCAGGGATGGAAAGGAGTTGTAGAGGGAGTTTTTAAATGGACCAAGCTAGGGAAGAATACAATGAAGACATGCAGAAGTCCTAACCAGACTTCTTTTGTTTTGAGCACTAGTCAAACTGGAAACATTTCTCAACATAACACTGGCCCACAAGACAGGGAGGCACCACATGGATTTACGAGAATTCCTGCAAGATGCAATCTTCCGTGCCGTCATTTTGTGTACTAGACAGCTCTACAAACACCGGCAAACAGGAGAGCAACCTGAATCCTTTTCTCACCAAAATACTGTTCACCTTTGTCAGCTTTGAGCCAATTTCCAAACCTGTGGCCAGTATTACCTTGACAAAACCTAGTTGGCTATTTCCAGATAAAGGCATCTAATTTGGGATTAGTTGGGTAAGACGGGAAACAGGGGAACAGCCTGAGCACACTTTTTACCAGGCTGCCAATTCACTACAGGAGCTCTGAGGGTAAGAGGGCAGCTTCATGGTGGACTTTATGGGACAGTGGAGAGCAGGACAGACAGGGCAACTGGTGTTTTCCAGTTAGCCCTGGCGCACCCACTGCCACTCACTTTGAAAGACAATAACGTTAGCCTGTGAGCGGATCCACTTGATTCTGGGCTTCTTCTGCAGATCATTGCGGTCCGGGTCGTTGGATGCGCGACACTCGTACGTCCCCGAGTCATTCAGGGTGAGGCTTGTGAGGTGAAGGGTGCTAGTGGCGTGGGTTATGTATGTGGCATTAATGTGTACGCGCTCCTCCCATGCCCCGTCATACAGTTGGGTGTAAGTCTCGTTGTGCTCCTCCCCCTCTATAAACCACCACTGTACCTCTGGGATGGGCTCACCTACCACCTCACAGTGCAACTCTACGTCTGCCTCAGTGAATCTGAGCTGAGACAGGGGTGACTTAATGAATCCGGCTTTAGGTGAGATTTACAGACGAGCCAAATGAAATTGAATGATGAGTTGATGATTTTAATGGTGGTGAATCATGATAAAAGACAGGAGAATGGAAGCAAATGGAAAAAGAGAAAGAAAACATTAATAAATCACAAATGAGCAGAAATTAAAAGTACAAAGGCAAAGGGATGTAAATGGTACAAGTAAAAATAAACATTAAAATTAAGCATGCTAAAACATTTGAAATGTGTCTTAATGATCAAAGCAAGCTTTTGAGAATGTACACACGAAAGGATCAAAGCAAGACGAGACTTTTGTAAACCCATGTTTCCTTGGACTTTGGTTTCACTGCTCGGGGGGGGTGCAGGTGGAGCTTCTGCTACAGGGTGCGCCCTATAGAAAAATAACAGACTCGCACTATGAGCTAAAGACATACTGGGAGCTGGGTCAACAAGCAATAAAACTAAATCTGAGATTTTTTTCATAGAGAATCACGTTGTCATTTGGGCACTGACAACATTTATGGTGTTGGCAAACAGTACTTTGTACTGCTCTATAGAAACAACTGAAATGTTGTCAGGTTTTGCTAGTGGTTTTTAGGCTAAAGGTTCAGTCAATGCCACAGTCAAAGGTCACCTTCATTCCACATGCTGTTTGAAAGTTCAATATTAAATATAGTCAGCTCGCCTGGCCCCACTCTAATAAACCGTTCACTGCCGTTACCACTCAGCACAGTGAATTCCTTAGCACCTTTGGTAAATATTTTATTACTAATCTTCTATAGAGCAAATGCACAATTTGTGTGCGTAAGGCACACAAAAGATTTGGCAAAGTTTGTTCATTCACAGATCACAATCTTCAGGGTACTGTGTTATCATATCAATTCACGCTATTGCAATAATTCTATAATGGAAAAAAAAGCAGATCTGGGCAGTTCAACACCATAGCATCATAGCATGTTGAAATACGGGAGTGGAAAAGCTGATGAAACAATGCTTGCGTAACAAGGGTGTACAAAAATATTGAAATATAGTGATCCTAAATTTGGTGATATTGTGGGCTGCTGTAACGATATATCATGTATTTTGTTATCTTTTAGCATTTTACTTTGTGACATTGCTACAATTTTGTTGCTTTTTAGTGGAAAGAAATTTGTTTATTCAATACACTCAACATATTCAGTTTTAATGATTAAAACTGATTTATTTCATATTAACTTTGTGGTTTAACAAAGAAACATTGTCACTAAAATGTATTTGGCTCTTTATTAAAAACAATACCATACAGTATCACGTGCAATATATTGGTTATCACTTGTATATTGTGATAATAGCGTATAGTGAGCCATGTAGCCTACTGAATTGTGAGGGAGCCTGTGATTTGCAGCCCTGTTGTGTAAAAACACTATAGTGTCTTCACTGTCAAACCACAGGTTCAGCAAAAGAGGTCAGGTCAACCAGCTGTTGTCTAAATTACCACTTACATAAATTGGACATTACAGAAGTCCTTTACCATTTCACTGGCATGATTATACCTCTTTAGTAGGTGCACTTCTGTAAGTGCGCATCAAATGCACTTTCAGTCTGACCGGAGCCTTTCTATAGCCACTTTAGCCCCTTGACTATTTTATCACTCACAGTCTTTAAATGCTTTCAGCAAATGAAAGCCACTGCACATATATTTTTATTGAATGAAGGTGACTTAAATATATATCACAAACATTGTGTGTGTGTTTTTTTCACTTTTGAAACCAAACAAGAGATTTGGCTTTTCAGAAACCACCAGAGAGCGAAATCAGCTCCAAAAATAATTTCCACTGTAGATGTAAACAAGAAATTATCCAAAGGATGATGAAAAAGTGGATAAAACTAACTAAATTAGGCAAACCCATATAATGAAAATCTGTCGAAATACCTTTTGAAGGAGTTCTCTATTGGTGCACTTATCACATTTTGAGCAACACTGTAGTAGGCCGTTTTTCACCATCTACAAAGTAAACATACCTGCCTCGATTTAACACACAATACTGCAGTACTTTTTTAACCTACATCACAGTACCTGAACCAAAATCTGGATAAGACTAATTTAAAGGTGGCTGGTTATATAATGCGAGTTGAGCCTAATCCATAAAAGTATTCAGCTTTCATGCAAGAAGTCCCTGGTCATAGTTGAGACTGAGACGTAAAGGTCGGGGTCGTTTCAATTGTAGTGACCGGTCTACTCCAACAGGATGGGCAGGTGAAGGATCACATTTCGACGCCGCTTTCAGGAAAGTAGAGACATTATACATTAAAGAAATTCATTGTACTGTTTATTTAAAAGCAGCAGATGGAACAAATCTATTGCCAAACGCTTTAGGCATGGGCTTATTTTAGGCTCTCTAAATGTGAAAACATGGACAGTTTTCAGTTAAAATACAATCGCCATTTTGGCTTGTTATGCAAATCTGTCTCTGGACTGTGAAGCACACAGCTTTAAGTGTGAAACTACACCAAGCGCTTAATGTTATGCAAGGAAACCCTCGAAACATCCGAGTAGTGAGAGACCACACCATATGTCACAAATTACTGTGCATGATCACATGACTGTGGCCAACAGGGGTATCCAACATTTTATTGAGATACACAAGGGAGAATCTGGAACAAGTACAGAACAACAAGTACAGACCAGTACAGTGGAGATAGCAGAACCTTCACTATCTATTGAAGTACTCGCTGTTAAGAGTTTGGTTCACGAGAATGTGGCTAGGCTAGCCATCTATGGGCTAGCCAGCACCGGTTTAGGGCCATTGCTGGGTTTTCAACAGATACTGCCAGTTTAGCGTTTTCGTCATGTCGCTTGGTAAGTGTGGTTTATATCAGATTCTAAGGATGTATAAAATAAACCTGGTGAACCCCACCACTGGCAGTTTTAACTGTTGAAAACAGGCCACGTCTCTGTTGTCCTCAAAATAATCCGAATCACGGTCTGGGTGCTCAGAGCGAAGTCTGTTTCGGTAACCAATATGGCTGACACAAAATTCTTACCTGTCGAGGCACTGACACTCCAAAAGCCTAATAGTACGGCACTGACGGCCAAAAGTAACTTCATGGTTGCCGATTTCATCAACGACAAAAACTGGCGGACAAAACAACGTTAACGAAAAAGCTTGGGCCTCGCTTCTTAGATCTTCCTTCGACCGCGGACGGAGGCGATTGTCCTCTAGCTGCGCCTCATGCACGCACCAGCCTAGATCAGCACGTACGCGTGACGCAGCTTTGTAGGCGTGGCCACGGATGAAGAAATTTTGCCATTATTTGTTTACATAAGATGACGTATATACAATTATTATAATTTTTTAAGACAAAGAGCCTATATCATGAATCTGTTATAAGGCCTATATCTGAGAATCACGTGCAATCTGAAATAATATGACACATAACGAATTTGCACAAAGTCACAGACTAAAGTGTAGTAACACAGTAAATCGTCTACAAAACTACAAATGCCAAAATCAGCATGACTTAAGCTGTACACATTGTTTACTATGCGACCCTCAAATGTCTATTTGTCTTTCAGTTTGACTGTATAACAATCCCTCTATACGACCAAAGGCCTTTGAACTAGGACCCAAAAGAACATTAAAGTAACAATATGAAGGAAACACTCAGAAAAGGCCAAACAATGGAAGGAACCCACATTTATTAGTTTATTGATATACTATGAAAACCAGTGTCCGGTTTGACTTTCATACAATCAGGGCTTTGAGGGTTTGAAACGTAATGCAGACACCTAATGACTTCATTGATGTTTTTCAATTATGCTATTGTCAAAGAAGAATTTAAGAAACTCGTTTAAAATTGTAGAATGTTTTAAAAAATGATTATTTTTAAATTCTTTAATAAATTATGCATGCATTATGCATAATGGATTTTTATAACACATGTAAGAAAACACATGACCAAACATTAACCGGGGCACTCAATTCAATTTAATATCAGAAATTTTTTTACATTATACTGCAAGTTATTTTTCAGAAATTGTATGATCCTCTTAACACTTATTATGGAAAAGAAATTTCTGGGCAAATAGATTTATATAATAAAGAAAAAAAAATAAAATTAAAATGTTCACATTCAATTTCCACATAAAAGTAAGACAGAAACTGCAATTTGATATATTACTGTAAGTAAAATCTAGCAAACCAGCCGTATGTTACAATTTGGTTATAAAATCATTCTATCATTTCATCATTTGGTTGAAAAAGCAAAGAGGCAAGAAGGGAAAAGACAAGAGCACTTTAAAAAATATATATTTATGTGCTACTTGCAAGACCAGCTCATTTTGTGTTAGTTATAACTAACTGTGGATTCATTGTTGATTTGAAAATATACAAATCCAAAAATTAAAAAAAATACCACCTGCTGCTGAAGTCTTTTAATTTTGGACTCCATTGTTTTGCTTCCTGTTCTGCTGACATCACACCTCAGTGAAGTTTTGCTATTCTTCACATCCACCCTTCCTCTGTTCAGTTCTTGACGATGAGAAACAGGGTAGGATCAAATACATGGACTTCATGTATTACTGCGACAGCCTCGCAAATCAGGTTTAGGTGCTTGGCATTAGACCGTGCCATGTTCATACCCAAATCCTGGAGACTGGAGATGACAGCTCTGAGAAACTTGTCTTTGAGCTACATGCAGCCAGAGTAAAAATACTTTATTAAGAGTTATCAGTGGAGCTGTCATTGCTGGTTGAATTTGAGGACTGCGGGGTAGAGGATGATGAAGATGACGATGAAGAAGAGTTTGACGAAGAGGAGGAGTTAAAGTTCATCCCTGATAATTCTGGAGGGTTTGTAGCAGTATTCTGCCCACTTAAGCTTTTCCTACACACTGGGCATGTATCATGCTGTGGACAAAAGCAAAGAAAGCATTTCAGTGTTGTTATTTACCAAATTACTAGGGCTAGGAAGTAATCTCCTCTAACAAATATTAATTAAATGTGGTTAAAAACAAACCCCAATTATAACACACCAAATTATTATTTAGACATGATTAGGCATATGTGAATAAGAGGTAAACCTTACGATTCATTACGTAGTTTTTAAAATTAGGTCTCCATTATATAGTGTTGAAATAAACTTTAATCAACGTCTATTAATCCAGTCATATCAGATCATTCATAGCAACATCCAACCAGCAGACGGTCACAAACTGTCCCTTCAGTAAATCATGGGCTTGCACCACAAAACTATAGCGGACAACTCTCCAGAGGAAGTGCTCACAGTGTCACTTGTGTGCGCATGTATGTATATACATACAGAAAGGTGAAATTAAAATAAGGTAAGGTACACTTTATAAATAAGACTACTAAATCACAGAGCAAATGTAAAAATAAGTTTACAATACAGAAGATAAAAGTTGTGCAAACTTGCGAAATAGTAAATAGCAAAATAGTTATTTAAGAGCCATAATTAAGGAGGGTTTTAGTTGCATTGAGTTTCAAATGGATTTCACACCACTGGACAAAATGATCCACCATAGGTCCATGGCTTCTTCATCTTCATCTCCCTGGAGAAGCGTCACCACCACTGTGTCATTATCTGCATGAACTCTTGTGTAATTATGTGCATCTACATGCCCTTTCAACTTCCTCCTTTAAAGTGCTCTGTATCAAAAAGTCTTTCAGAAAGCAGATTTTTACATTTAAAAACAGAAGTATCAAATGATTATAAAAGTTAATGGCCCTCATTTACTAACATTGAGGTGAAAAAGGTGTATATACTGATGTATATTTTTGCATATATCAGTGGGCACGTGGTATTTATCACTATGTGCACAGAGTGTAGGTACAAGCAAATGGTGAGAAATGGGAGAATGGGAGAAAACCATCTTCACTTGAATGAAACGTCTCAAAATATTAATGTTTCATGAGGCAAGGTTTATGGCATGTGCAGAATATAACAAAATGCTGCGTTTATCTGAATTGGCAATCATAAAAAATAACATAAAAAAGGAGAAATATGATGTTTTGGCTTATTGCAAAAATGCAGATATAATATATATTATAATAATTTTATTTTAGCTATTTATTAATTCAACTTCTAAATAACTATAATAGCCTCGTCTGAACTAGCGGAGAGCAGTTCTGGTCAAGCCAGGCTCAGATGAGGCGGAACGGGAAGTGGTGTTAGGTGCCTTGGCCTGAGCGGCTCCAACCCCAAGAACCAAGTGTGTAGACAAACGCCATTAAAAACAATGGGCCTCATTTATGAATTTAACTTTTTTTTTTTCATAATTTCCACTTTAAGAAAATGCTGAGCGAAATCTGCGCCAGATTCACAAAGTGTTCTTATGCAGCCATTCCTTCTTAAGTGACAGTTGCACCAAATTCATCAGCACCCTCCATGCTCATTTACAGTTAATTTACATTAAAAATTAATATGTATTTGCTTAGAAACAAACTCTGAACTTTCAAATATGGCCAATATGGGTTTGGTATTTGGACTCTTGAAAGGACACGTGAAGGAGGGAGTGAATGAGGATGTGAGGTGGAGAGCATCTGCTGACTACAGCTGTTTACAGCTTCAGCAGCGAGTACAAATGTCCAAACTCACATAAACACACTCAGGGATGGAAGATTTAAAACATAAACTTATTGAAATAAGTGGGTGTTTTTATCATATTTATCACATTTTCCAGGATCAAGAGCCTGCAATAAATGGCAAGGAAGGGGGACCAGGGTGGGGGTGCATAAGCATGCGCTCTGGTCATGGGGGGTCTGGGGGGTTATGGGGCTCTTGAGTCCAGCACGGTGCCGAGGCACAGGGCTGTAACAGAGGTCCATATAGAGAGCACTGGGGCTGGGACAGACTGAGGCTCACTGCAGTCTGTATAAAGTCTGTTAGACCCAATAGACACATGCTCTATAAAACGCCTCAAATATGTTATTGGATCACATAGTAATATGTTTTCATGAAATAATTTAATAAATTATATAATTTACAATTATGGAGGAATTAAATTTTTTTGTTGCATTAGCAGAGTAATAATATTCTATAACACTAGAACTTTTCTTCTTATGAGAGGTCCTGACTATTTGAAAATGTTCTTCTGTAAGAAATAGTTTTGTGATTGCCAAAAATGTTCGTAAGAAGGCCTTAAGTATAAATTAGTTTGTAAGAAAGTTTGAGAGATCCATCTTTAGTGCAGTGAGTGTCTGTTTTAAAACAGCACTAGGAACGCATAGACATAAACAAAAATCAGAGAGGCCAAGTCAAGTCCCGCTGCTGGTTGCTGCATGCACCTAAGGCTTATGCTAAACACTCAGCAATCATGTTGCCAATTAATCAATGTTTTAATTACATTTAATTTAAAGAAAAGTAGGAAAAAGCAAATTTGTTAAAAAGCTAATTTTTCCAGCCCTACTAATTACATTTAAAATGTGACAATATGAATAGGTACCTGTTCCAGCCAGGGTACTATGCAGTCATTGTGGAACATGTGATTACAAGGGAGCTGCCTTACATTTTCTCCCACACTATAATCTTCTTTACATACTGGACATTCTAATCCTGAGGCTGTGGGACACAAAACATACATTAGATTGTGTTAATACTTGTACATTTACATTTATATAATTATGCCTTATTGGACACCTGTCTCTTGCCATCTTTTTTGCTACGTATTTAGAATTTATTATTACCACTTATATTTTTTATATTACATTGTGACGTGTGAGCTAATGTGTCCAAATAATTTCCCTTGTGGATCAATACAGTTTGTCTAAGTCTAAGAAATCAGTGGTACTTGATATATTAATTATTTGCTGCTCTTATATCTCCAAGAAAAATGCTAAAGAGCAAAGTACATATAATTTTTGTAAACTATCCTTTTTCCATGTTAATCATACTAGTTAAGATAATCAATCATACTTACCAACATGCTCCTGTGTAATTTGAACTGTAGGAAGACTTTTGATTTTATCTTTGTCTGCTGGTGGTGGTCCAGTGTTTTCAAATTGATTCAATAACTTTAAAGGGAAAAATAAAATTTGTTAAATTCATACATTGGCCAGATATATTTAATCCAATACATGGTAATGGGATCAAAAATGTTAATACTGTGTACCTGTGTTATTATTGCATCCAAACCATTAGCTCCCCAGGCATAATCCATAGGACTTGAATGAAGAACACCCCTAAAATAATGATCACATGGTTAAATCAACACCAAGCTTAATATTTCAATTCTAATACTTCAACCACTTACCATGGCCCCACACCTAAATTTGGCATAGCAGTAGGTGCAATTATTCCATTGACTAATTGCTGGATAATTCTACAAAACAAAAGAATAACATAATTAAACAATTGTCACAGCATCCATTGTATCTCTGAAGTGAGAGCAACACACTTCTTCCCAAATATAAACTTTTCATTGTGTTGAACTCTCACAAGTAATACTCAAGGGATTGTTTACTAATGCCTCACCCCTCTAGTGTGGGAACATCCTCTTGCCACCCTGGTGGTCGCATCGAACCATGCCGACGTCTCTGTTGTCTAGCACCATATCTGTGCCGAGCTGCTGTTTCCCTTTCTCTGCGATTTTCAGCATCTTGGTTGTCTTCAGTTCCCAGTCCTGCTCCCAAGTCAAAACTGTTACCAAAGACACCCAGGGCAAACTGGCCATTACCAGAAGAGAATGTAAACAAGTGCTGCTCTGGATTCTGTAAAGATCAATTAGGACACAAAGCAGAAACAAGTATTTATATGAATGAAAACTCAATTTGAAAAAAGCCAAACACAGTGGCAGATGAACAGTTAGTATGATTTGTAAGTGGTAAACATAAGTAATTTCCCCAACATGACTTTTGTACATTTGTACAAAGGAGCAGGAGGGCAATGATGTTTGAGTAAATAATGAGTTAGACACCTCAAATGGCTGCTGGTTCTGGGGCCCGCTGGAGATAGTAGGCATGGAGCCATTGTCAGCACTAAACAAAGACAAATATTTGAAGTTATGTGTAGACATGGGGTGTGACTTTATACTATTTTTTATGTACAGTCATGCATTTTATACACAATCAAACAACTTCATCAAAGTTATCTATAATAATGATGACAAAAAATACTTTTTTGGGACTCATGCAAAACATATTTCACAACTGTATTTTTAATATATTTAATCTAAAGACTGAATTGTCTTTAATTACTGACCTTCTCTCCTCCAGCAGCTCCTCAATAAAACCTGAGTCGCATCTTGGACATGTATAATCCTGTAATGGTAACCAACCCAAGACAATCATATAAATAAAAAAAAAAAAAAAAAAAAAGGGTAAAGGTACATATAACGATAATTAAGAAAGACAAAAAACAAAAAAAACAAAAAAAAACACTAAGCCGTGTATTAGCATTATTGTTCTGTTGTTAAATGTGAACGTTCAAACAGAGAAAAAACCAAGAGCTTCTCTGGCATTGTTGCATTATCTGTTTGACAGATCCTTCTGGTCACTGACAACAATCCCACATGGTAGTTTTCTGTACATCGTATTTACAAAACAAAACAATGTCTAATACGGAGGATCTATGAATACTAAATATTTTTTATATTAAAAATGGGAAATATTACTTGTCAATCTTCTGCTTTTTATATTTTGTTAACGTTACGAATTTCAAAGTGATAAAGCTAACAGTTATGATGGATTCAATTAACTTGGGCTACTTAACGTAATTTACAATAAATTATGATGTATTCACACATGTAATTTTTCCCCCAAAATAATACATATTGTAAATACCGATACATTATAAACAACTTTTAGATAACATATTCCTTTTGCGTATTGAATCATTATGTAAAGATAACAATCTACGAGAGCTAGCATTAGCTTTGCAGTGTGATGCTACTGCTGTTAGCAGACAGATCTGGGGACCTCTCAGCAACAGAGATTTCAACCTGTTTGGCGACACCAATAAGACCTACAATTATTCATCAGCACAGCGGTGTCAGTGAAACTCACGGGAAGTCGAGGACTAATCTCCGCGGAGCATCTGTGACAGAAAAACCGGCTGGGCCATGGAGGAGCTTCTGCCATCTTTATCACCCAGAGAGCGGCGAGTGGACTACGGCACCCGGGAAGGACAAAGTAAGCATGCAATCATGTGATTAATCATTCAGTAATGTTCTTATTCACAAATACTCTATAATGTATACATTGAATGAGAAATTATCCGATTTAGTTTAAATACCAACATTTTACCAATATTCTGAATTATCTAATTTTTATAGGATATGCACTAAACAGTTCGGCCACACAGTGGCGCTATTGTGTAGGCGAAACCCTTATAGTTCTATGGCGAAACACAAGCCTATTTATCTACAGACATATAGGCTGGTCTCATATGTTATGATTGTGTTCTTGGTAGTAAATCTATGTTACCTACATTGTCTCCATCATTGTTCAGAATGATTTGTAATGAGATCTAAAAGTGCACTGTGTATTTTTTCAGCCGAGGGTCATCTACCGCTTGTTTCCGTAAAGATGTTATTGCTTACTCTGAAATCTACTGTAAATTTCTACTGTAAAGTTACCTATCTGTTATTCAGTTATAAGTGTTCAATGTAAGTGTGTTTATTGCAAAGGAAAAACAAAAATAAATAAATAACTAAATAAATAAGTACATAAATAAACAAATAAATAAATAAAACAGAAAAACAAACAAACTTAACCTGGTGGTCTGATATGTAGACTAAGTCTAATGCATTTCTGTGTAACATTCCAGACAAAAAAAATTACATCTCCATGGAGACAATCAGGCAGCAGTCTCTCCTGCTGAAAATTACATAGTGCACTTTGAGGCTTGATCCTGGTCCACTTTGTTTTTGGATCACAGTTTCTGACTGTGGGTGTAGATACGTCTACAGTTTTATGTTGCTCTAAAAGAGTAAGTTTCTTCTTGCATGAGAAAGACATTGTCCTGTTTTATGATGCAGGCGAGCTCCCAGTGGCGTCCAAGTGGCGCCCCTGAGATAGCAGAGAAGGTCTTTCAGATCAGTTACATAAGAGCAGTGAGGCTGATTGATGTTACTTTTGTCAGGCAACAGTTTGCTTCAAAAATAGGTTAACTATTTAGCAGTGGTGGTATATAGTGGCAGTGATTACAGTTTGGAATTGAGGAAAACAAGACAACTCATTATCCTATAATAACTACACAGTAATAAAGCACAATGACTTAAATCATAATAGTTTATAAAGAATGATTCAGCCATAACTGGGCTACTTAATTAATACTGTAACTCCATCCTAAATCTAACACAGTGTTTTCCAAGCCTGAATCATTCTTATAGCTGCCATCTTTACATTTGTTTGTTCTTGAGGTTTTTTTTTGTTTGTTTTGTTTTTTTTTACCAGTAGATGGCATATACTATACTACTTATTACTTTAAAAAAAAAAAAAAAATCTTCATATTTAAATTTATATTGTTCAAATGTTACTCATTTATTACTCATGATATCTTCTCAAAACCTGTGAGGGAGTTGGCGACAATGACACTGTAACCTGCTGGCCCTATTGTGTGTGCTGTGTGCATGTGGGAGCAGAGAAGACACATCTGTCCCAGGCCTGAGATTAGCACTGAGGTTTGCTGTGTCTGGTTGAGGTGAGCCATTGTCTATCCCACTGTAGCCCAGCCCAGTCTGCCACATGGGTCACACACGGACAGGGAGCCTCTCAGATAGGACCTTACACTAAAACTACTACATATAGCCTACACATCTGCAATGGCATTTCCTTGACAAGTAGGAATACCTATTTTTGGCTTACAGGTGGAAAATTCTTTTCTGATATTTGCTGATAATATACTTCCCAGGACTTTTAAATTTATTATACCAAATAATGAAATTGCAAAAAATACCTTTAGTATACATACTACACTTAAACTTACATGTTTTATATTAATAAACAATAAGTACAAATGTTTAAAATAAATAAATAGATACATTATCAGTATTAATCAAAATGTTCAAAAAAATCCAACATCAGTCAGTCAGTATCGCATTTAACAGTTTGCTCTCACTTGTAAAACCATTTGGTGCTACAATTGATGTTAAGATAGTGAATGATGTCATCAGTTCTTGCTCTGTGTCAAATACTCTCTTCCAGTAATAGTGCATTAAGCATGCTATATGTGTAGAGTTATCATCAGTGTAGTAGGTCATGGTAATGATTTATAGTTGCGTTGTTTTTACTATGTTTAGACAGGATACTTTGTATGTGTCATTTGTTCTGCCACCAAGATCTTCCAGGGTTGCTTAAACCTGGCAAGAAAGTGATGTAATGAAAATGTGTAATATCAGTAACTACTTTCAAACTGCCTAAAAAGATCAGGCAGCTTGAATCATTTTAAATGGCATGTTTACAGGATTTTAATAAAAACATATATCTATTTGTGAGGCAAGCATGGAAAAAAGAATGGAATAACTCTAAACTGGCTAATTTTTTCAGCTTCAGCTTGTGAAACATAACTTAATTTGTTTTTTAGAAACATATAATACTCCATCAAGAAACTTCATTTCATTCACTTTTGCAGGCTGACCATTGGCCGTGCTGAACGATTTCCAAATGGGTCAGACCACACAGCGGCCCACAGGAAGGGGGCTGGATCTGAGGTCACTGTGAGAAAGTGGACGCTCCGCCAGAGGTAAGTGGAGATAATTAGCATTAAACTACTTCCGAATGTTTTTTGTGACATTTGCTGGCATTCAATACAAACAAAGACAATACTGCATTTACTTTGCCCAATAGGCAAGTAGTCATAAATCAGGAGTACATGTAGGATTCAACAGTGGTCCCATTAATTTCAAAAGATTGCAAACAACTTGTGACCCAGAATGCCAAATGAAATTGACACCTGTAATAGTTTCAAACTGTAATGTCAGTGTAGTAAACTATCGCATTTGAGAAGAATGAAAAGTGTGGACCCACGTGTGAAGCAGGTCTATTGTGATGGAGTGATGGATGACTTATTTATTATTCTCTGCCGTGGGACACAGTGTTTACAATGCAGTGGTGCAGTTAGAGTGGGTGGTCTCAGGCTTCATCACAAGATCATCAGAGATTGTGACGTTGGTGTAACTTACTGGAAACACAACGGAAACAATACCATGTGGAGCATGTTGTGAAAGATGCTTGACATATCAGAGAAGGATACGCCTCTCTCTAACTGTCAATGTGGGCGTTACAGGCCTTTGTAGCAGAGGAAAGACAGTAAACAACTGACTCCAGAGGTGCTGATGTAATGGGCCTAATGGTCTCCTGGTCACAGCAGGTAAGCTGAGCAAAAAGGAAGGCACAGCCATCAACAAAACACTCATAGACACACTACGCGTGGATATGACACCTCATTGGCTAAACCATAACCAATAACAACCCACCGCCAACATGGAGGAGTGTGGGCTCAGATTCCTGAGGTGTGTAATTAGAATAACTGTGAAATGGCTCATAGTTATTCTGTGGTTACATTGGTACCACTGGTGCATCACGTCTGACATCAGTCTATTCATCATCCTGAGCACAATTATAGAGTCAGAGCAGATACAGATCCAAACATCACACCTATAGTCTCACTATCACTATCTCAGAAAGTTCAAAGGAATGTAAGTGTGTGTGTGTTTTTTTTCTAACATATACACACCAGTCTGCAGTCGTAGTAAGATCTGGCTCAATTAGTCCAAACACCAGGCCATTCCCAGACAACTTAAATATTCATTTTAACAAACTAATTCCATTTCTAAAGGCATTTTTATTTGTTTGTTGGAAACACATAGTTTAAAGCAGTAAAGCTTCAAATCAATGAGGCTGTGGTGATTATTACTCAGCCTGTTTGTCTGCAAGTTTACAAACTTGCATGCTTCAACAATTCACTCGCCCCTCACAAACACCTGAATATGCCTAATGGCTGATAACATTCACACGGTGGGCACATTCTTTTACTCTGATAGTTTATTGTGAGGGAGTTTATTAGGGGCTTACCAAACATACTGGCATAGCAAACAGGCCAAGACTGGTTTATAGGCTGGTTTATAAATATGTGAACAAAATATTGCAAGTTATGTTGACCAATAGTGCAGATACTGCCTTGTCTAGAGGCGGAAAGTTCCGTTCACACCATTTGAACCCAACTCCTTCAGCCGTACTCCTCCATGTACTGGAGAAACGGTGAATGAGAGGGTTGTTTGGGGCTGTTGTCCAGGCTCCACAGGTTTCAAACAGTTGTGGGGGAACGGCCAGCTATTATACGACTCAAGTCTGGTAAACATTTTGGGCTTTAGGAGAGGAGAAACGTTTATGTTTGAGAATAAGGGGGGCAGAGGAATGGAGGATTTCCTCATTGGAAGAACTTGGAGTAGAGCCACTGCTCCTCCACATAAGAGGAGTTGTTCAAGTATCTTAATTTCTTATTGTACTGTTGAGAGGGCAGAAACTCTTTGACCCTCCGACACATTCTACAAGAATGTGCACCAAAACTCACTTTACTTTTAAGGGTAGTAATCTCACCGGTGGCATCATTATTCGCCCTGTTCCTATCAAACATTAAATTCCCAGTATAATAATGATATACCTAAAGAGGAATATAAACAGCCCCTTAAATCTGAACCAGATGTTGTTGCAAAGAACATTGAGGTGTTGCGCATAGAGGTGTTGCCGACCTCAGTTTGAAAAAGTTGAAAAGTTCCATATTCATGCCCCCTTTTCTGTCTGCCCCTCCCTCTGCGTGGAGCAGGGGCATCCCTGGAGACAGGAGTAATATGCCCAAGCTGGGTTTGATTTTCTTGGTCTTTTATAAGAATCTTTAAGAGGTGTGTGTGAGGGGTTGTTTGAGTCCTGCACGCAACTGTGTAGAGCGCACAGGAGCTGAGAGCAGAGCTGCTCACAGCTCTGGCATCAGATCACATCTGGACTGAGGAGGCCATGATTACGTCTTTGTGACACACTTCGCAAGAATCCTAACATGAACAAATATGAAACAAAACCCAGAAAAACAATGTAAAATCTTAAAGGTTTAGAATGTGTGCGCACTTGATAAACTACAATTTAAAGAAAGGCTGACATTGTGTGGCAAACTGTAATCTTTATGTAATTTAAAAAGGCAGTACAAAAATACAAAAATATGTCAAATTAAGGACCCATTTGTTTACAGTAGACACAGAAATACACAGATTTGATTTGTTATTTACAAGAGAATCACAAGCTTGGCACATCAATCCATTGCTTTAATATATAGGACTGTATCTTTACAGAATAATCAAATCTCTAATCAAAATTGGCCAGTCTCCAGTTATAGTAAATCTGGTATGCTCAATTAATCCAAACAGCAGCCCATTCACAGACAACTTAAATATTAATTTTAACAAACTATTTCCATTTGTCATGCCAAATGTACTTGAAAAAATAAAATAAAATCAAGCCAAAGCAGCAAAACAAGTCTGGGGTGAACCAACATGAACAGAGAAACTATTGTGAAGAATTTGGGGTTGGACCAAGCTTTTTCAGTCTCCCACAAAAACAACTAACTGTTCATTTTAGTAATCAGCAGGTGGTCTGCTTGTGTTTAGGGCAAACATATGTGGGACGAATGAGACTACAGATTTGTTTAGGCTGAGCTCCACACCAAAGCCTCAGGATTTACTGTCTGTAGCAGCTTGTCCTGGGGATGCTCGTGGTGCACTCAGACCACAAGGATCACATTAAGTGGTCACCTCCATAAACAAATCAATGGGAGTCTTGATCTGCTTATGAGTGTGGAAATGGAAAAGTTGTACAAAGTTGTTAGAGGCAACATAAGTGACCACAGTTGTCAACACTATAATAATACAATAGTCAACAAAGCACAATAAATACAGTTTTATATCAGATTTCCCAAAAACAGTGTATATATATATATAAACGTTTTAGGTAGCAAAATGATAAATACAAACCCTCTCCAATAAATAGTATACTGTTATCCTATGTACAATATGCACATTTCAAAGTCATTTCTTAAGGTGTCAAAGCGAAGGCTTTCATGCCTCTACCCACGTAATATCCCACTGGTGTTTAGTGGTCCTAATTGTTATTTTTCTACACATGTTGTGGAAAAACGGGGCAATAAGTGGTTCTTCCTTAAAATTTCTGTTGCATAGCCCACGGGACGATTCTGACATGTCTAAACTGCATTTTCCTCGCTGCCATTATAGTTTGGAGATTTCCTCGGGGGATCTGTGATAGAAGAAACAGTTGCAGGTGAGTGTGCACTTGTTTTCATGACAGACGTGGCAGCGTGTGGACTTACTGTTGCAGTGTCCATAGTGGCGGACTCCTATGGAGCGCCCCATGAAGCAGGTGGCCCGGCGCAGGTGACAGGCGCTGGGGTAGGTGACGTTGTCATTGCCGCAGATGGGCTGCTCCGTGGACATGGGAATAGGGCAGGGGGCAGTGCGGCACATGACACAATGAGCACTGTTGGTCTGGTCTGTCACACACGTGTGGGTCCCAGGGCACACCACTTTGGTGCATGACTCTGTGGATATCAGCAGTTACATTTATATTCTTCAGTAAAAGCCTTACATATTGGACATATTGGATCAGTGTTCTTACTCTTGCAGTCCCCCTGGTACATGACCTCCAGGTCAGGGTGTCCCATACAGCGGGCCATGAGCAGAACACACTCGTCCTTGTAGGTGCGTCCATCGCTGCCGCACACTGCATGTTTGAGTGACAGGTGGGAGCAGTCTGGGGCACACAGGCACTGAGGTCTGCCCATCTTCATTTTACAAACTTTCCCTGGGCCACATTTGACTCCCTCACAGTTCTCTACAAAAACAGATTTCACAAGTGCATAAGTGCCATTGTCTGTATCATGTAACAGGTTACAGACATCAGGAGACCTTGAAAAGGCCTTTTTATCCAAAACAAGCATCAGATGTGGGGCTTTCCCAGACTGAACGACAGATTTCTCCTTGCACAATATTTGCAATCATCACATCCCTTTATTGACCGTTACACAGAGGGGTGTCTCGCCTGCAGGAATGTGAGCTGGCATGTTTTCATAACAGATCTATGTGCACAGCTCCATACACACGGCTGGGCTCATGCAGACAGAGAAGTCAACACTCTGTGAGAAGTGTTGGAGGTGAGGAAGCCCCTGTCTCCTGTAACACCTCCTAATCCCTGAGTTCTAGGGGAGTGTAACTCTATGCAGTGCCCTGCAGCATCACACAATGGACAATGGTCTCTTCCCAGGACTTCAGCCTCTGTGATACCAGTCATCGCCATACTGAAATACAGTACATCGAAATACAACGGGGAGCTTAGGTCCTGTTTGTACAAGTGCAGAAGTTCTGCCCTGCTCCTCTGAATCTGTCAACCAGTGTTTTTGTAATATGGCAGGTGTCTGTGCCTGCACTGGCAACACACACTTGTTAATAACAACACATTCAAAATGCCAACATTTTACTCCCACAGAATTCCAAGTGACTCGGGTGTCTAGACACCACGTGGCAAGCATTTTTCCATAGCCTGCAAATTGTATTTTCTTGTTGTGTTGCTGGAATACAAGGCTTATATACAGTGCCTTGAGGGTGAAAAAAGCAGTATATAAAACATGATTATTTAAAATGTGACCAAAACATTTTAGAAAGATTACTTTGATGTAACCAATCTTCTAAGGGTGGTCAGGTAGTACACAGACATATTGACATACATACAAACTAATTACAAAATATTCAGTTTATTAATATCTTCTGTTGAATTATAATATTTGTTGAAGAATAATTAACACAGTCCATTTCAATGACTGTGTCTGCATGCACATATCTACAACCTTAAAAACAGATGAACTTGAATGAACCTTAAAGAAATGTTTTGGGAAACAGCTTAATCTATGTCTGCACTTTGTTAAAAGTGGGTGCATTGTCAAAATTAAGTATTTCTATTTCCTACATAGTAATGAAACAAGAAGTAGATTAAAGCTTAAATAAAAATATATTCTCATCCCATCATATGTTTTTGTAAACTTTAAAGACAGAGAAAAAATAGAAGACAAGATGTAGACAAAAGAGGTGGAAAAAGCATGTACCTTTGCAGGGTTTGCAGGAGACGATACCGAGGAAGCCCAGGAGGCTGATCTCATTCATGGGGAGGCTGCTGTTGGACCAGGCTGTGTCCAGACGACCCCCGGCGCAGCACTCATCCCGGGTCACTCCTCTCATCAGCACCATGTCACATCTCTGCTCCGGGCCCTGCTGCAGCCAACACATCCCTGCTGCTCACAACACAAATTACAAACACATGGAAAGACCCAGTTTAGGACAATTATTATTCTACAAATTTAAACTTTGTGGGATTCATGCAATTTTGTGAAAATGTAACATAAAGAAATAGACTTACCATTTGCTACATTCCTACCAATCTGACATGAAGTGAGGAACAAAGCAAAAACAAAGAGGTAAAAGCTCATTGTAGCTGTTGTTTGACAAACAAGTTTCTCCTAAAGTCAAAAATGTGCAGTTGAGTCCGACCCTCTCTCTGGTGTTGTGGATAAGTGATGTCGTCTCCCCTCAGTATAAATATTTAGCCCAGATGGAGTTATGCTGCTGGGATGGGCGATCCTCTCAGCCAGTCATAAGCCAGGGCAGGACACAGTCTGACTCAGTTTCCACAGTCGGGAAATGATCCATGCCCTGCAGCGCCGGACACTAGCCACTCAAACTGTTGACCTCACTTACTATTTCACACCATATTAGCTTTTTTTTAAAGGCAACTTAAAGTCAAACACAGCACCCCCACAGCATAGAACATAGTAGGTTAAGTAACACTTTTTTACTGTTTCGTAGCTTTGGTAAATACATGTTTAAAGGAATCAATCTACAACTTCTACTGTTAGTCAGTGTAAGCCTTACAAGTATTATTGCCATTGTTTTTGTAATAACAAACAAGAACAAGTTTCTCACACAGTAAATACAATATTATTCAAGAAACACAAACAGCTGGTATTTTTTTGTAAAATGAAAAGAGAAAAAAGAAACCTATAATTGCTCACTTAAACCTACTACTACTGAGGTTTTGAAGATATGCCACGCTTGACCTCCTACATAAAGAATGGTCTAAATGCTGTCCTTCAGCTCATAGGGATTATGGAATGCATTACTATTTACTTTTTTTTTTTCAAAAAAAAGACCTGTATGTGCTCTCTTATCATTTGTCTCCCCGCTGTCTATTATGGTCCTACTTAAGTCCACTCTCAGAACATATGTCTTTTGATCATTGATCCATATAGCAGGATTTTGAGGTTTGAGAAAGAATTGTGGCTATAGAGATTACATGCATTCCATTACAGTTGTCACAGACAGTGGTCTTTGAAAACTCTAGACCTTGACCCTTAATTTTAGCCTTGACCCTTAATTTCTCTTCTTTGTAGTGTAAAATGAACTAAATACGGGGCCCCCAGAATGGACTTTACAAAGGTAGATCATTCACAGTACTATCATATGCTTGAAAATATCCTCAAATACTCCATGATAAGTTGGTTCCAGATTTGGTCTTGTCATATTTCATTGTGTGCACTGTCCGGGTTTATCAATGGATGACTATGTGGTTAGCAGATGAGAGGAAGACGGGGGGAAGTGGTCTGAGCTTATGCCAAAAAGCAACTTGAAAATACATGTCATGTCTAGATCACTGATTTTTGAAAAAGCATGCTCTAAATACTTCAGTGCTGTATAAACATTATACTTAATCAGATATCCTGAAAAAAGATCGTAGAACGATTTCCACTATTACTCTTGTAGATTTGTAAAAGTAACTCCACAGTAGAAACTGAATTATGTAGTGCTGCTTTTAGCATGTGCTTTTGTTGTTTGTTGAGTGGTTTTGTTTTTTATCTGGAAAGACATATAACTTGCTTGAACTGATTTTTTTCTTTATTGGGATAGTTACAGTACACATATTTTGTCTTTGGGGATTTAAATGTATAGCTATAAATAGTAATGTTACTTAGATATTGTATTCAACTGCTTTTAGTACTGGTAAAGGTAGCACTAGAAGATGTATCTGTAATAACATCTATCAACTATCTGTAACATATATGGACTTGTGTGCTGACTTTACACCGCTCTGACAACAAAAGTGTTTCAGGTTTAATCTTAATGTCTGATCTGAATTCCCCTCTCTATCTGTGCTGCACTCGTTCACCCCCCTCACACACCCAGCCAAAGTAATGTGATCCTGCCCATCTGTCTGTCACTGTGCTTGGGACGCCTTTTGATCGCCGGTGGGGGGAAATGAAGGTAGCATATGCTGCAGGGTCCCGCGTCCTTGTGAATGATGGTGCTTTCTTCAGGCAGAGATCCCCAGGGCAGTGGAGGAATGCTGCCTGACCTAAGAGGAGGAGAGAGGGGGCGAGGAGAGCAGTGAGCATGGCTGTGGGTGGCCTGCACATCCACTTCTCATATGGTTTGGATCATCATACAAATGAATACAGCATGGCCAGACTTTGTAGCAGCCAAAAGTAAGACTTGTTAGTCTGCAACTTACCGCTTTCTGTCTTTGAGAAATGCTGTCCTCTTTTAAGTGGCAGGGCTCTGTGAGGTGACATGAAACTGGAGAAGGCCATTGGGCTGTCACTGATCAGTGAGAAAGTGCATCTTCGACAGGGCAGGTGTGGTGAGGTCTGACCGCAGCTCTGGTCATACTACTGTTCTCACACAATCTGGAGCCTGGAAAAATAAGCGGCGACACATCAGTGACACCTAGTGGAAATACATTCTAAGTACAGAACACATAGAAAATGAAAACAGAAGCCTGTCCCCTGTAGTTTTTAAAGCTGGTTAGCAGGCTACCGCTACAGTATCATTTTTTCCTGGTTCTATTGTATTATATTGATATGTAGACAATAATAAACCTAAACACAAATACAATTCTTTATGAAAATGCTTTTCTAATCTAAATTATTTTAAAAATCTGATTTCATTTGGTCTGGATCCTGGGTTCCTCTAGTTATTACC